TCACGAAATATCTATTAGACTGCGGGAAAGACTAATCCGAAGATACTGAGTATGAACCTATTTCTTAGAAAGCTAAAAGAGTTAAACATTATATTAAAAACAAAAACAGGCAAATTTAGGAAATCGTTTAGGTATTTTTTTTATTGCTTAGATGGGTGGACGAGCTCATAGCCCACCTGGAGTTAAGTGGTTACTGGAGCCCATAGACATCTACAACGTACATGCGCCAACTACCTTGAGATATAAGTTCTAAGGTCTCAAGTATAATTACAACGGCTGCCCCACCCTTCAAACCGAAACGCATTACTGCTTCACGGCAGGGTGGTGGTGGTACCTATCCGCGCGGACTCACAAGAGGTCCCACCACCAGTAATTACGCAAATTATAATTTTGCGGGTTTGATTTTGATTACACGATGTTATTCCTTCACCGTGGAAGTCAATCGTGAACATTTGTTGAGTACGTATTTCATTACAAAAATTGGTACCCGCCTGAGATTCGAACACCGGTGCATCGCGCTCAACACGAATGCACCGGACGTCTTATCCGTTAGGCCACGACGACTTCGACGACGACTTCGTAAGACACAATGAAACCTAGGCCGAATAACACTTTAGTCATTCGTGACCACGTCATCTCTAAAGTATCTGAAACGTCGGTAATAATAAAACAAAAATAATAAGAAATTAAAAAATAATAATTGTTGAGTTAAAATTGAATCTCAGCTACGAATAATTTTAAAGATTTTGTCTGCGTTTCCAGTAAGTATATGCAGTCGGCGTCAATGCGCCACTTCGATAAAGCGGCACGACACGAGAACCCTCTCATCGTGGCCGCCGGTAACTACATTCCCGATCCTGCGGACAGAATGGAAAGCAGTCGACGTCGCCCAAAACACGTCATCTCGGATCCTCCCGATCCACTAACGGTGCTTCTAGGTACTTCAAGCACCGGTCACCGTTCTCGTCGAACCCGTCGCTTGCGACGAAGGGCTCGACGAGTAAATTAACTCCCAGACACAGCCCACTGAGTTTCTCGCCGGATCTTCTCAGTGGGTCGCGTTTCCGATCCGGTGGTAGATTCTGCGAAGCACGACTCTTGCTAGGGTTCGTGTTAGCAACGTCATCAGGTTTGAGCCCCGTGAGCTCACCTACAAAAGTTAGGGTTACGCTGACATAGCCTCTCAAGGATCTCAGCTTAGGTAGGAAAAAAAAAAAAAAAAAAAAGAAAAGGCTGCGTTTTCAATTATAAAATTCTCTGATCATCATCAAATGCTTTAATTACAAAAAAAACCTTAATGGTAATGTCTAGTAAATATAGCAAATAAATAATAAAGCTCAGTAAATATAGCAAATATTAAAGTTTACGGGTTTTTGTGTCTATTGTCGTGGAAAACACCATATCAAATGCACGGAAACAGGAATTTTAATATTCTAATGAAACTCTCAGTAAATACGTAAGTAGAAATATCTGAGTATGAAAAATTTAATACTGCATTCAAAAACACCAGGACAATGAGAGATTTTGAGGAGCATACCACCGAGGACTGCCATTTAATGCGATCTTAATTGATAAATGGTCTGACAATAGAATAATGACGCATATGATTCATAGTTAACAACTCCGCCTGTATTAGGTACACTTTTTATATACTGCACTAGATGGTTTGGCTAGCTCACGGCCCACCCGGTGTTAAGTGGTTACTGGAAACTATAAATATTACTAGTGATCGCCCAGTAGTCGTAATTCGACTATAATTCATTGAAATTATAATTTGTACACTATTATGATACTATTTTCAAAGACTATTATACTTCTATAATCACAAATTTCGCCAAGACTACACTATAGAAAAATATTAATAAAGACAAACAATATTTAATCTATTCTCAACGTCAGACAAAGACGTGAAGAACAAAAGTTTGACAATAAATAAATAGTATGCATGCGTGGGTGCGTTAAATACACGATGGTGTGTGTAATGTTTTTTTTATTGATTTAATGTATTTTTTAGGCATAATTTAAAAAAATATTAACATCATGCACTCCTTCTCTATATTCTCTATAAGTGTGGGAAATTTTATACTCTTCCGTCCGCGCAATTTTCGTAAAAAGGGATACAAAGTTTTTCCTTCACGTATTAATATATAGATATAGCGAACGAACGAACTTGACACATGAGGTCGAAAGTTCCATTGTATTGTAACGACAGTCTCAACCTTCTAATCAGAACGGATAGTTATTGTGTTGCAGATATTAGGCAGATCGGTGGTACCTATCCGTGTGGGTTTACGATTGGCGGTCACTAGATTAAAACGTAATCGTTTCTGCTCGTTTTCAGGCGAATCTCTTAGTAGTCTTCTGTGACCTGACAGCCAAATAAGTTTGTGAGTTAACGATGAAAGGAAGGTTTTTTTTATTGCTTAGATGGGTGGACGAGCTCACAGCTAGACATCTACAACGTACATGCCGCCACCTACCTTGAGATATGAGTTCTAAGGTCTTAGTATAGTTACAACGGCTGCCCCACTCTTTAAACCGAAACGCATTACTGCTTCACGGCAGAAATAGACAGAGTGGTTGTACCTACCCGTGCGAACTCACACGAGGTCCCTACCATTAGTAATTACGCAAATTATAATTTTGCGGGTTTGATTTTTATTACACGATGTTATTCTTTCACCGTGGAAGTCAATCTTGAACATTTGTTAAGTACGTATTTCATTACAAAAATTGGTACCCGCCTGCGGGATTCGAACACCGGTGCATCGCTACATACAAATGCACCGGACGTCTTATCCTTTAAGCCACGACGACTTCCAAAGGGTGATATTGCTCGATAGACTGACGGTCTTAATGTTGTTGTTCGGAACTTGTATATACGCAAGCTTATCTTGACAATGTCTTCGTATAAGCGGGGTTCAAGTATCTTTTAAATATGTTGGGTTCTATGATGGCTACATAAGCGCTGATGGTACACCGTGCTATAAGCCCGCACGAGTTAATTCTAGGACTATTCTACTCTGGTCTGCTCTAACAGCAGTCCGACGGGTCATATCTCAAGGTGGGTGGCGCATTTACGTTATAGATGTCCATGGGCTCCGGTAACCACGTAACACCAGGTGGACCGTGAGCTGTCCACCCATCTAAGCAAAAAAAAACTACCTGTCGGTTAAAATCACATGGATCTATTTTTATTATCTTCCCTAAACTTTATATCCATTGTAGTCTACAGTCATGCTTGCGAGCTCATATTAAAGTAAGCACCTAATTGCAAACGTCTCTGACAAACATAAAAATGTCGGTATATTCACAGCAAATAGTCATCGCTGGTTCTAGAATGTTCTACTCCGCAATGGGTCTGAGTCTAGAATAGTGTCTCATTCGCCTCGTCTCAAAGTGTAGACTATTAAAATGGCGTCATCTCGTTTGAATAGAGGCAAAGATGAGGACTGCGATGACAATTGTGTGTAACATAAGTAGCTATTAATATCCGCTGATTTTAAATTCTATGGACTTATATGAACCAACGCTAAGTTCTTTTTTTTAAATATGTTTAATTTTGTGTCCATTTATAATGAGTTCCTCAAAGCGGTATAATGCTTAAACATGGCGATAGTATCAGGAAGTATAATAAATTGGTAAATAATTGGAATTGGTAATAAATAATGTACCCTACCACCCTGCCCATTTCTGCCGTGAAGCAGTTATGCGTTTCGGTTTGAAGGGTGAGGCAGCCGTTGTAACTATACTGAGATCTTAGAACTTATATCTCAAGGTGGGTGGCGCATTTACGTTGTAGTTGTCTATGGGCTCTATGACCACTTAACACCTGGCGGGCTGTGAGCTCGTCCACCCATCTAAGCAATAAACAAAAAAAACAGTTAATCAGTTTCTATATTTGTTGTAGCACCATCTCAGAATTGAACCCCACCGTGTTAGCTGAATGCTATGCCATGTTCTTCTGCATACGAGGTTTTAATGTATCCTCAACTGATTTCTGATATCCGACGGTGATCACTCACCATCAAGTATCTCCTATGATCGTCTGCCTTCGAAGGCGACAAACGAAAGAAGAGAAACTATATAATATTGAGAAACTAACAGATAAGAAAGACATTTAATAACTTTCCGAAAATTACAAAGTATCTGACTTTATCTTAACATCTTTGTTTTTCAAATTCACTGATTTTGATAAAACTTTATGAAGATTTAGTTTAGTTTTTTTAATATGAATACTTTAAGAATGCAATACCTTCGTACCACGCTTCCATAAATGTAGTAGCTCCATGTGCTTTGCCATCAATTTCCCTAACTCTTAGTGGCTATCTTAAGTAGAGCATGTTAAAGACCCGGATGGGTAGGTACCACAATCCTGCTTATTTTCTGCTGCAAAACCATCGTGCGTTTCAGTCGCTGGGATCGAACAGCCCTTCTACAATTGAGATTTAAAACTACTATAGCTGTGGCGTTTTCATTGTGTTCTATAGGCTCCGGTGACTGTTTAATAAAGATTCGTTATGTTGTCTCCCATATTACGCTCTTAAGAAATCACTAAGGATGCTATGTGTATCTAATGTGTATAGGATATTTAAAAAATATAGAAAACCACTATCTCTTGTCCGGAACCATCAATTAGCTATGTATTCCCGTACACTGGAAGCCCTTTCAGGCCCTTTCAGATACGATGGGATAAACTCGTCATCTCTCAACGTCAAAAGTACACGAAACAAACGGCGCGTAATCCCGAAGAAACGTCGAAATAATCCCCGAAGCCTGTAGCAGAAATATTAGACGTAAAGCAATACCCGCCCCGACGGCCGGAGATGTTTAAACACTCCCAAATGCCTTTTTAAGCCGACCCGCTAAACTTCAACTTTTTTAATAAACCGTAATTCGGCCGAAATGGCGAACCAGACAGCCGAATTTAGCCGTTAAAAAAGAAAAAAAAATGCGAATTTGAATAAGGAATTCCCTAAAATAAAATTTATTCGACTCACCTTATTGGTCGCTTTTCGGTTGTATTTTCGTCACAGGACTTGTATTTCTGGTTGAAGTTCGTTTTGCGGCCGATTTGAGGATACGTCCGCCTCCCGCAACCGCCCGAAGGAGACTGAACGTAGGCTGAACGAAGCTAAGGGTTCTTCCGACCCCCTATGCAGCCCAGATGCATTCACCTGCCACCCCCCATTAGAGACTTATAACTCTAATTTCCGTCGCGCTTCTGACCTTCATCGCTTTGATTGACAACGTTTTTGTCATTATCTCGTTAGGAGACGTTCAAAGAAATACCTACGTTAATTCAGTTGCTTTTAAAGCACGTATTCCCGTAACGTCGGGTCCCATGTGAATGCTCCAAGAGTGACGCATTAGCGGGAATTGTCTCTGACGGTCCTTTTCGCAAACAATAATAATACAAAATGGCTGGACGTGCGTTCAGTTAACACACCTTTGTCTGTCTTTGCATTGAGATAATGTTAATCATTTGTCTTAGAAGGAGTCGAGCTCACAGATAGATTATATTAGATATTGATCGCTTAAATAGAAACAAAGGAAGGTTACATATGTATGTTTTAAAGGTACAGGATCTTCTTGACGTATACGCGTTTTGCGGTGGAGTAGAAAGCCTTCATTTAAATTGTAAGGCTTATTGACTTTTATTAGAACTACTGGAACACTGTCGGTTTGATAGCAAAGGAATAAAATTAGGCGAAGACTTAAATCGTCGTCATCGTGGCCTAAAGGATAAGACGTCCGGTGCATTCGTGTTGAGCGATGCACCGATGTTCGAATCTCGCAGGCGGGTACCAATTTTTCTAATGAAACACGTACTTAACAAATGTTTACGATTGACTTCCACGGTGAAGGGATAACATCGTGTAATAAAAATCAAACCCGCAAAATTATAATTTGCGTAATTACTGATGGTAGGACCTCTTGTAAGTGTCTTGTAAGTTGTAGATGTCTATGGGCTCCGGTAACCACTTAACATCAGGTGGGCTGTGAGCTCGTCCACCCCTCTAAGCAATAACCAAAAAAAAATTACACTCAACAATAGTTGCATAAAGATTTTGATTCATAATTACAGGCCTTATGAACATTCCAATATTATAGGCCTTATGAACATTCCAATATTCCATAAGCTCCAATTAATAACTTAAATTATAAGAATCCGTAAATGCGAAGGGAGACGTATAAATAGACTGATTCGCTTTATATTTTCTGTTTCGAGAATAGTTCCGCAATAATTTTCGTTCTTTTCCGATCCCAGCTTTAAATAAATAACTAGGAACACATCGCGCACGGTCGTAAGACCCCAAATTAGGGTTCCCCGTGTTGTGGGTACCAGAAACTGACATACATACTTATATACGTTTAAATATGTGCATATGTATATATATATATTTTTTTTTTTTATTGCCTCAGGACTGCCATGGACTTCAGCAATGCCAGGGGCAGAGCCAAGCCGCTGCCTACCGCTTAATACTCTCCACAAGCCTCGTTTGAAGAAGGACATGTCATAGCGCTTGGGAAACACCGTGGAGGGGAGCTCATTGCATAGCCGGATGGTGCGTGGCAAAAAAGATCTCTGGAAACGCACTGTGGATGACCGCAGTGGCTCCAGGTAGTATGGATGAACTCTACTCCGGTGGCGGGAGGTGCGATGGTAAAAACGAGACGTTGGTATCATCTCGAACAATTCCTCAGAGCACTCCCCATGGAACATGCGGTACAAAATACAAAGGGAACCGAAGTCCCTCCGCAGACCCAGAGGCTCCAAACGATCCGTGAGAATGGGATTATCGACAATCCGAACGGCTATATAGATGATAAACGTATATAGATGATAAACGACCAGACAAAGAGCAAACAAACCTGTTCATCACATGAATGCTTGTCCCGTGTGAGGGTCGAATTCGCGACCCTCGGCGCAATAGTCAGGGGTGCTAACTATTGCACCATCGAGTCAGTCAAATTTCAGCCTGCCTTTTTTTAATTTTATTATTATTTATTTCATTTACTTCAGATTTTGCATCCATATTACACTTCATTACACTGCATTAACATTTCATTTATACTAGAATTAAATAAAAATAATAACTACAATCTCGGACTAAAACAAAAGCAATAATAATAATATTAAAAACAAAAAAGTTAATTTTTAATTCTTTAATTAAATTTTTTGTTTTTATTATTATTAATTTAATTTTATTTTATTATTATTAATTTAATTTAAGCCTTTAATTCGCTAACTACTCTTCTACTGGTAGGGCGTTTTGTGAGCCCGCACGGGTAGCTATTTATACAATCAGTCAGTAATGCGTTCCTCTTTCAAAGAAGGGAAAGTAATTATATTGTACAATTGAGACTTAGAGTTCATTTCAATGTCATGTCTCATGTCATCACATTGTCTATGGACTCCGGTAACCACTTAATAGCAGGTGGATCTGAGCTCATCCACCCGTGTAGACGAAAATACATAATAGATAATAAAAAATGTACATCTTTTTCTCTTTCTTTTTTTGAACGTGAGTTTTAGGGACGTGAGTGAGTTAGAGAGATTAAATGAGTTGCATACTATGAATTTTGACATAGCTCGGAATTAATGATGCTCATAAATGCATTCAAAGACGTTTTTTATTTGTAAATTGAAACCTGTACTATATTACTTTTGGTACCAAGTAAAATAATAATTCTAAGTTTGTGGTTTTGAAGTCGTCGTGGCCTAAAGGATAAGACGTCCGGTGCATTCGTATATAGCGATGCAACGGTGTTCGGATCCCGCAGGCGGGTACCAATTTTTCTAATGAAATACGTACTTATCAATTGTTCACGATTGACTTCCACGGTGAAGGAATAACATCGTGTAATAAAAATCAAACCCGCAAAATTATACACACATCCAGGCAATAAAAAAAAAATTGTGGTTGCGATGAGTGCCATACCCATAACTCCTATTCTTAAGACTAAAAAGTTCATGACATCGAAACCGCCTCTAACCTAGAGTCGTAGTTGAAGTCTCGTTGTATTTGTACCATAGCTGTCCTACCAAATTGGAGAGCACTGGTAAAACGACAATACCATTATTGTTTACGCTATCTGCAATGGATACATCGCATCAATATTTTTGAACGTAATTGAGAGCGCATCGATATAGTCCCGCCCCTTTCCCTCTTATATCAATGTCATTATAAAGTCGAGTTTGAATCGTGCGCATCAAAATTGTGCCATCGCGAAAAATAATAGTGAATATTGAGTGCAGCTAATTAATTACTTAAAAAACTGATAGTGTTCATCAAGATAAAAAGAAGGAAGACAGGAGTGGCCACTCCAGGAAGATAGTGCTACAAAATATTATTATAACTACAAACAGCCTTCGGTGAGTTCCTAACAAAATACCAAGTATCTTATCGATTGCGCTCTAAATATAAAAACGAAAGAACCAAGCCCAAACATTTAGGTTTAACAAAAATAGAAATTTATTTTTGACATATTACTTGGGGCAACCGCTCTTTTGCGAGGACGGACGTAGACTGAGATACTGCCGCCTGAGGTATCTGAGAGTGGATGTAGAGTACTGAATATGATATGCCTAATTAGCATTTCTCCTTATAAAATTGAGTACGGCACGTACGGATTCGGAGAGAAATTATCACGAGCTATTAAGATAGATGTAAAATAAAAGTATTTCACTGTTGCATTTTTAGTCTTCTTTTCTAAAATCTTCTGTATTGTAATAATTAAAAATTTATTGACACCTTTTTACGCCTTGCTCGTTTAACCGTCATCGCCATCTTCCTTTTTCTCTTTCATTCTTTTCTCCTTTTCTTATCGTTTTCTCTTACTCACATCTAAACGCTCCATTCCTCCATGAAAATACATTTTTTTTAAACGAAATAATGTAATATTATTAAAATTTTACCTACATATTTATTAGTCTCAGCAAAAAAAATCTATTCGAATAGGCCACCTTTGGCTTTTATACAAGCCGATATAGCCGATAACATTTTTTGCTTCCTAATGGGGTTTCGACGAATTCTGGCTTTACCAGCATTAACAGCCTTTGTAGTTCTAACAGCACGCAGCCGACCCGATCTTTGACAGACGAAATATTGTTGTATCTGTTGATATTACGATATACGAACATACGGCTGATGCCAAGCTTTGAAGTTTTGAAGTGTCTGGAATATGACCGACGACTCCATAACCACTTTGCGTAAGGCGATCATTGCAAGCCTTTTTTCTTTAACACCCCATTTCATATTGTAATTCGATAATGAACACGAAAAAATATGTGAAATGGAGCAAAATCGGGAGAAGTTTTTTTTAAAATAATTAGGGATGAAACGGATAGTGGTTTGGCCGGATACCGGATACTGAATATTCGGCAAGCTGCGAGGCCGGAGCGCCGGATATTCAGCCCCTTTTTTTTCAAATCAAATCAAAGTTTCAAATCAACTTTCGGAAATATTCGTGCGCGTTCGGGTGTTGTCGCACGTGAGCGGAGATCGCGACGACTCGGTACGACGACGATTTGGTATTCATTCACCACAATTTGCCACTTGCTAATTTTGAGTATTAAACAAACTAATTGATAAAACAATCCCTTTTGACATGCGATTATAAAAATAAAAGTTGTCCATAGCCTATTGTGGTATTAATTGCCTTTTGTAACTACGAGATTTTCTTAAATTTTACTACCCGAAATCCGGCCGTATAGTGATTTACTATCCGGTATCCGTTTCATCTCTAAAAATAATATAAGTGTTCCAAATTCAAAATAATTGCAAGATAATAAGATGCAGAAGAAAAGCAACTCTAAAAAAACAAATTAATTTACAATGCTCTATCATTAAGTGGAGACAACTTGTGAGGGCCCTATGTACCAGCGGGGTACCCTAGGACTACAACAACAACACCAACAATCATCATTGTATAGTAGTCACGCTTACAAACTTATCTTCTAAAATAATCAAGGAAAGAAAATGTAAATAGAATGTCTATTTCTTTAAGGATGTAAAATGCGCGGGTAAATACAATAAAATGTATATAAATACGATAAAATGTACTATGCCGGTACGCCATGAGTACAGCCCGTTCCGAAAATAGTTTACAGCCTTAGTGATGGGACACAGTGTGCGATAGAAGTCTAACCTATAACATGAGTCGTTACTGTGAGCTGATCTTGATGTAAAACTTGAATCG